CCACCCTCCAAAAAATGACGGGCAAAGAGAGAGACAAGAGGTAGAAAAGGAAAGAAGGACAAAGATCGTGTTATCTGCATTGGTCCCAGTACAAGAAGGTGTTTCATGCCCAGTACAAGAAGGTGCATTGGTGCCGATAGAATCCGCATTGGTGCCGATATCTGTAGCTCCTCCGGGTTATGTGTGGATCCCTCGACAACCTATGGTCTATGACAATGTTGTGCGAGTTGAAAGTTTTATTGAGACAAACACAAGAAAAGCGACTGCTCTCTTCAAGTTTATGCAAAAACCGAGACAAGAGAAGTTATGGATGTCAGGGCTGGAATATCTACGAACCCCACAGTTTTGGGAAGACCTTCTACAAGAAGGTGTATGGCTCAATGATTAAGTAAGTGTTTTCACATATAGTTTGATCAGTTTGACGAGTTTGACGACTGTTTGACCCATTTAACTGTTTGTTTTCACAGCATATCGATGAAGCCATGTATGAAATCCGGAAACGTGTACCCCAAATTGAACCAAACAGTCAGAGGTACCTTCTTTGTGATGTGCAGTGTTGTGAATGCTTCAAATGGTGGAAATTGGGACAGAAAGATCTCGGCCTTCTTGGACAATACATGAGTGGGGAATTACCAATTGGCGGTGGTAACAAAAAATTGGATCAATACAAAGGTTTTATTAGTGTATTGAACATTCCGTCATTGGTAGATCCTAATGTAAGCGTCCATTGGGTCACTATTAGAGTGGACTACAGGAACACGGTGATTCAAGTGTATTACTGCAACCCGAGAATGAAGGAGGCGACAATTAAAGTGATTCATCATTTATGCAGAAGTATCCCAGAGGCCTTCATGATTAGCGGGACTGGTCGAGTTAACGTTTCGACCTTGTTTTCCATCGAGCTAATCTCTAATCTACCTCAGAACGTTACAGGAAATGAATGCGGCATATACATCATCAAATATGCAGAGGCACTCTACAGGAATGATCTTACCTTATTGGATAAGGTGAGCGACAAGGTTATTCGCGAAAAGATTGCATCTGATATATTCGCAAATGGCAAGGAAGTGTCTGTGTCTACCGAGGAAGACTGAGATTCTTCTCCGTACTATTTCATTTGTTAAGAACCTCTTTAATTTATTAGTATTTTATTTCTTAAGAACCTCTTTCGGATTAAGTTGTATCTAATCAGGTTTAAAACCTCTTTCTATTAAGAACCTCTTTCGTGATAAGAACCTCTTTAATTTATTAGTATTTTATTTCTTAAGAACATCTTATTATTTACGTCAAACACGTCAAACTCGTCAAACACGTCAAACTCGTCAAACTCTCTGATTTTGCGAATTTATCAATTCTGAACCATAAGCATATCAATAAACACTCCGTATAACAAATTTTATAGGTAAAAAGCAATCGGAGCTAACTGAATTGAACACCTTATTTTGTTTAGCAATGCATGTTCCCCCAAACGAAACCCTAATGTTCTATTACACTTTATGTTACACATTGGTCTAGGGTAGAATTTATCATTTTCCCAGATGCTCTCCTTATAACAGAAACACGCTCAATACGTCATAATAGACCCTGTACACAACTTTGAACCATCAGAATTTAATTTTGACCACAGGATGACCGCGTTGACTCGTCAAACTCGTCAAACACAGAAACCCCAAACATGAAACCCCGAATGCGTGTTACGACTTTGACCAGTGTTATGAGTTTGACGAGTTTGATCAGTTTGACGACTGTATTTACAATATAATACACTAGTGAATTAGTCCAAATATGAAATCATAATGTCATTACATGCACGAACATAATATTATGACTCATACGTCTGTGACGTCCTTGACGTACTGATCGAACCTACCGAACATGATTTTCTTTTTCGAGACTCACCAGGTCCAGGAAATCGGTTTTGTTTAGGCCTTCCACTTACCCGTTTTTCTTCCACTATAGGCGGCAATACCACTACATCTGCAATGGAAGATGGCAATTTTCAATCACAACAATCAGGAACCGGGTACACAGTCTCTTGGTAAGCTATATGCCATGTATCTCGCCTGTAGTATTCAGAACAAAGTTCGTATATCATATCGCCTTTTCCGATCATATGTGCTGCTGCAATTGCATGACTACAAGGATACCTATCCACATCAAACATTTTGCAACCACATGTTCTTTCTCCAAGATTAACCAAGTGTCTTCTACCCTTATCATCCCGCACCTCAAACTCGCCAGTAACACCGTTCAGTTCTTGAACGTCAAATGTACATGCCTTCTTGTAACGTTCATGTAGCTCTTTGTAAACAAATGGTGTTAACTTTTGAGATTCATCAGAACTACCTGCTTCTAATATGTGCCTGTTAAACCATTCAACTGTCTTTCCGAGACAAATATCAAGTAAACTTAGCAATGGATACTTTTTTGCCTTCTTCAGTACGGAGTTGATCGATTCGGCCCCATTGGTTGTTAACATGTTGTACCTTTCACTCTTAAATTTACACCTTGCCCAATTCTCAGGTGCAAGTTCTTCCTTTTGCATGTACTCAGCCACTTTGGGATATCTACACATTATGAGATATATTCACATTAATAACATCAGTCAAACTCGTCAAACAAGTCAATCACACTAAACACAAGAAACATACCTGCTTTTTAGATCATCGTATAGGTATTCAAACTCATCAATCGTGTAGGCTGCTGCACATTTAAAGAACAATTTAGAGATGGTCTCACCATTTGAACTCTTTCTTCTACTGCCTCTATTAACGTGCACTTTTAAATTCTGCGCTATGTGCCTCACACAAAAGTCGTGTTGCGCTTGCTTGTATACTTCTCTCGCAGCTTTGATTATGTTTTTGTGTCGATAAGATAACACAACTACATCAGGACCATCCGGTATTACTTCGCTTAATCTTGTCATAAACCACAACCATGAAGCATCCTTCTCTCTATCTATCACTCCCAACACTAAAGGATATTGGTGATGATCACCATCTTGGGCGGTTGCCACAATCAATGCTCCCTTATATTGGCTCCTCAGAAATGTTGCATCAACAACAACCACTTTACACATATACTTCCATCCTTTGATAGTTGCACCCAAGGCGATAAAGAGGTATTTAAAAGTTTTTTTATCATCTTCAAACTGAAGACCCGCTATAGTCCCAGAATTCCTTTCCGTCAACATGTGCAACCAACCAGGAAGCCTACTATAATGTTCATCATGACTACCACGGATCTCATATTCAGCACTATATTTCCCTCTCAATGCCATCATATACGATACACTCGCACCGTACTTGACTTTCACCCGTTCTACTATCTCTTTTGCTGTGAGAGTTTCAAGCTTACCAGCATACTCTTTCTTTAAGTAATCTCTAACCAACTTCGCTGAACCTTGCACAGCTTTTTTGGATTCGGATACAGGTCTGCAACTATGAACGGGATTATATGATCTTACACTGAAACGTTCGGAATTCTGAATCGCTGCAATGCGTAATTTCCAAGCACAACCCGATCTATAAAACTTGCATCTTAATTCCCACAACTTCTTGTCAGACTTCACTGTAGCAAAACCGAAACAAGCTTTAACAGCGCCTTTCCGTACATATTCCTGAGTTGCTGCCTTATTAACAAACTCATAGCCAATACTTATATTCAATCCATCACTAAAATTGAATACTGAAAGAGAAAACGATGTGTCCTCCATAGCTACAATGGCCATATTATTCTCACCATCACCATCTCCATCACCAAAGCCAACTTTATGGGTTTCAGTTGCAGGTCCCTCTTTTAAAACAATTGCATGTTCTCCATTTATTTCATCTTCTTGAACAATAGTATGTTCATCATCCAGATCATCTATAAATTGTATCGTATTACTCGCACCTTTACTCTTGAAATCGGGACTCTGAATCATATTCTTATTATAACCTGCATAAAGCACAGCCTCATATGGTCCAACACCAATACCAACACCACTACCGGAATCTGGAATGTATTGCATAACAATTTCTTGTTCACATTCACTACTCAAATTTACTTTTTCAATCTCCACGTGAAACATGCTTCTTCCTCCATTTATTTTGTCCATGAGATAAATAAACACTTGCTTGTCATTCGATATGTAAATCGGCTCACATTTTCCTTTTATTCTTAGCTGAATATTTGCTTTTCCTTTGTCCACATTCATATTAGAATGTAACTCCTCAACCAGATGTCTGTATGTCAAATCTGTCAGAGGAAAAAGGAATATCACACCCTTGGCATCTTTAGCTTTTCCTTCCCATTCATATTCTCCACTTGCGTTCATTATCCACTTGCCACCAGACTTGTAATAAACAATTGTCATTCTTTCATCACTTGCAGTCATTATGCCTGTACCAAATTAACACAAAATGGTGAAACTGATTTGACGTGTTTGACGAGTTTGACGAGTTTGACGATTTCTACGAGTTTGACCAGTTGGACAAAATGGTCACTTTCACCAATGTGACGAGTTAATTTGACCAGTTTAACTGATATATATATGTTACATTTGACTCATCTATATTATACAAATACGAAAATTAAAAAACCCTAAATACCCAAAATATATATCGGCTATAAAAAAAACTTACATATTAACGAGATCTACGTTTATTGGATGAGTTTCTTGGAGATTTCACTTGTTTCTCGCAGTAAATTTGCCAGAAAATCGCGCCAGAGAAGAGACATTCAAGAGAGAGAAGAAAAAAAACTCGAAGAGAGAGAACGCGATGTATGGCGGGAGACAGCGATAAAGAGGAGAGAGAAAATGGGGTAAAAAGTAGATCTATATTTTATTTATTTTAATATATTATAATATTATATAAATAAAGGATGTTGCCGTTTTTTTGTTACTGTGCGAGGTATGAGTTGTAAGTGAAATCGACATTTAAGGATATTTTTACAATTGCCCCCATTTGGGCCGAATGTGGAATTGTATGAAAACCTTGGGGCGGTTTTGATGAAATCTAAAACAGAGAGGGAACTGTGGAAAACACCACTCCTCGGAGAGGAGCGTCGTCTCTCTCCTGGGGAAGAACACGGGCTACAGTCCCTTGGCGGATTTGCAGATTCGACGAGACTCGGGGACTTTTTCTGGTTTCCGAGAATTAGGGTTCTCTTTGTAATTATTGGGATAGAACAAGAAACGAGGGGCAGAGATGTCAGACCTAGACAGGCAAATTGAACAGCTGAAGCGCTGCGAGCCATTGAAGGAATCGGAGGTGAAGGCTCTTTGCCTCAAAGCCATGGAAATCCTCGTCGAAGAGAGTAATGTCCAAAGAGTCGACGCCCCTGTCACTGTAAGCAATTGCTTACCCCATTTCTCGATCTGGGCATCGGAATTTTTCTGTTGTTACGTATGAAAATCGAGTCTTTGAAGTTCGATATTTGCGAGAGGTATCGGGAAGGGGAAATTCATAGGCCTGAAATATGAGGAAGTAGGGTACTTGAGAATTTGGGTGCAGTTATTTCCGAATGGGAAACAGCTCTGATTGGTACGGACTTCCCTCTTTTCCTAGAATTAGGGTTTTGGAATTGAAATAGAATTGAATTTTGGTTTTTTGGATGGCCTGCCCAACTATGGATTCTGGGTTTTGGTTGATTTTCGGTTCACATAAGTTTAAACTTCCGCTGCAACTTCGGGGAAGTCGTAACAAGTTGAAATTGAACTTAAAATACATGAGATTTTCAGATACCGTTGCACTTCCACTATTTACAACAAGCCATGGTGATGAATTGATTATGTGTTTACTTTCCTTTCATGGAATAGATATGTGGTGATATACATGGTCAGTTCTATGACATGAAAGAGCTTTTCAAAGTAGGCGGTGATTGCCCTAAGACGAATTATCTGTTTCTTGGCGATTTTGTTGACCGAGGTTTCTATTCAGTCGAGACATTCCTCCTCCTACTGGCTCTCAAGGTAACACTCCCATCCCGCTTTCCCTTTGGTTGCCAAATTTGGTCAATGGGCTCTAGAATTCTTCAAGTGGGTTGCTTTTGAATCGTCAGGTCAGGTATCCAGACCGGATAACTCTCATTAGAGGGAATCACGAGAGCCGGCAAATTACACAGGTGAATTCAGTCGCATTGATATGTTTACCGTGTGTATATACTATACTATACTTACATTTATATTTGACTACTTACACTTTGTCCGCATTTAGTAGGTATATGGATTTTATGACGAGTGCCTGCGTAAATATGGTTCTGTAAATGTCTGGAGATACTGCACCGACGTTTTTGACTACTTGAGGTAGTACATATATAGAGCTCTACCCTCTTACTATAGTTTTTGTTGGTTTGCTCTCCAACTATGATCCGAATCTTATCTTTTATTGATGTGACATACTTTAAACTTCTTCCGTGCTGTCTCGTTCAGTCTTTCAGCTCTTGTTGAGAACAAGGTCTTTTGCGTTCATGGTGGCCTCTCTCCAGCTATAATGACTTTAGATCAGGTTTAGGAGAAAAGCTATCTGCTAATACAATTGGAACCTTCATCTAAGAGGATAACTGACGGGTCCATACCTTTTTTGGCAGATCCGAACAATAGACCGGAAGCAAGAGGTTCCACATGATGGCGCCATGTGTGACCTTCTATGGTCCGATCCAGAAGACATCGTTGACGGATGGGGATTGAGTCCACGAGGAGCTGGATTCCTCTTTGGCAGCAGCGTTGTCACTTCTTTCAACCACTCGAACAACATAGACTATATATGCAGAGCCCATCAGCTAGTTATGGAGGGTTATAAATGGATGTTCAATAACCAGATAGTTACAGTCTGGTCTGCTCCAAATTACTGCTATAGGTATAAGTTACTCTGAAAAAAAGGAAAAGTTGCCATTTAGTCGTATATTTTTTTTCTTTTGCCATATAGCCTGAAATTTTCGTGTTCTTCTGTTCCTATGAACTTCAGATGTGGTAATGTAGCTGCAATTCTCGAGCTTGACGAGAATCTGAACAGGGAATTCCGTGTGTTTGAAGCAGCTCCTCAGGTATATTGCTTGCCCTTTTACCGATGTACCTTTCGTTTGGATCTACGACAGCAAATTCCTGCAGTTCAAGTAATTCGCCTTTTTTTTTTGAAACAGGAATCAAGAGGGGCTCTTCCCAAGAAACCAGCACCTGATTATTTCCTGTGAGCTGCAACAGTGATGAAGCCATTACTCAAAACATGAACGGCCCAGGAAATTCTACAATTCTGTGTGTAAGTTAATACCCATAATTGCAGAAGATTCAACAATCTTGGAGTCACAACAGAGATCTCTACTTTTGAAGAACATGACAATCAAGGTGAGCAAGCCTTCATATGTGTTCTGCCACTTGAGTTTGTCTGATATTTGTGTGTGATGGCCTTTGTGAAAGGCGATCTGGAGAGAGAGTACATGGACCTTGCAAGTACCAAAAGACAAAGTTTGAACGATTCAGATTTCTGAAATCCTTTTCTTTCATCCCTCATCCACTTGTGCTATTATATAATATGGTCAAGTAATCATAAATATTAATTTTCTATATGCATCCATTGAGATTAAGACCAAGTACGAGGCTGTTGTAACCATATAGCCAGATGCGTAAGCTCGAAACTATATGGACAACGCAGAACACGTGAGAACAGATTGTTAGGACTTGAATTGCATTCTGAACCAAACTAATATGATTAAACCATACAGAAATGATTATTGTTATTGCAGTTTTTTTGGTGATCTACAATAGAAATCAGACAAATGCAAAAACGGACACATACAGGTTGGAGCTACAACTAGTGATAATAGAGATAAACCAACAATCAACCAGAAGGCAACATATTCACTTAGAAGATGGATAACGGAGTAATCTTCCAAAGATTTATTTTCATCAACATTATAATCTGGAAGTCGGTTGTTTGATGAAGGGATGGATACAGAAAATCAATGAGAAAGACTGTAAGGCCAAAAGGGTATGTTCACACGGGGGATACGAATTACAAACACAGAAAAAAAAACCGACATGTCAAAGATACATAGCGATTGCATAGGAGCTAATACCAGCGGGTCTCACTCAAATTCGCCCATTCGGTTTTTTTAAGTTTAAGAACATGTTACATGGGTTCATGTCCGAGCAGTATGTCTACTCGCCCTCGTTTAGGATCGGAACAATGAGAGGATTCATCTGTGCAAGATATACAATTGCCCACCTAGCATAGTGAAAAAGAGAGGGGACATTAGGTAACAACACGAGCAAATCAAGCGTAAGTTTATGAACTATATGCCCAAGGAACAGAGAGATGCATCAAACAGACAAGGAATCAAACTCAATCTTCTACAATATTAGGGGCAGATAAGCTTTGTGTTCATTTTATTGGTTCGTTTCTCACGTGAATGCTAGTTCACGACTTACGATACCATGAAAATGCCAGCAAGTTTGACAGAATCTAGTCTATGTGCTTTTTTTTTAATATATATACAAAATATCCTAAACGGCATTCAAATATAAACCGACACCTCTAAATCTTGCGCATTTAGACTAATCCTTGTTAGCTCTTGGGTCAACCCTGGCCTCAAAGATTGCCCTATGTGCTTTTGCATACTAGAGTTTGTTGATATATGACACAGCGTTGGTCATAAACTATTTTATCTACAAGAAAACTGAAGTAAGGTCTAAAGGTTAAGTATTTATGCATAAAGCTTTGGTCACTAACAGAAAACAAGAAGCAGCATTCTTTTTCGCACAAATCTAGTTTAGGGGACCCAAAAAGGGAGGACAAGAAATAAAAACAAGAACCAAGGAAGGCTGGAAACACACAAACTTGTGAAATTAATATGTTCGGAGACAGGGGGAAGACTGAACTTACATCATCCAACAGCAGGCTGTGGCTGTAATAACCAAAGTAAGATGAAGCCTGTATCACATAGAACACAGATTAGATATTTCCTCAGCATGGGAATGTGGTTAGAAGAAGTTTGTCGAACGTGGACCAGTAGCTGAGCAATAACAAAGCCTGGCAAAAGGAATATAACATCGCTTTAGATTTTGATCTAACATGAAGCAAGCCACTGAGTTGGAACAAGAATAGTTATGTTCTGATAATGCTCCTTTTCGATGCCACAAGAGAAAACATCCCAAATTTTCCAGGCAGAAGAAGAAGATTGTGATAATACTCGTTTTCCAAACAGCCCTTGCTCGTCGGAGAAAAATATACATCAAATATGAATCCCTAAAATGTGACTAATCAACTGGTAGAAGAGGGATTGAAGCAATGAATACCAAAAGATCAAATCCCTAAAATGTAATCGAGAAAACCCACATCGCATTGATGCGGCAAACGACGCCAATCACTTCTTAAGATCAAGCAAGCAATCAGTCCAAAAGATCGAGCCCATAACAGAAGAAGAGAAATTGAACTGAGAGGACCGCAAGGAAACATACAGATTCGTGGATGGACCTCTGTTGCAGCAGATTCTGGTGCATAGCGAAGCAATGACCCCAACAACGACGAAGATTAAAGTCGTCACGAGAAAACCCATGTTCGATCCTGATCCCAAATCGATTCCCGGGGACGAGAACTATGCGTGAATGGAAGCGATCGGGACAATCCGATGGAAAGCAGTAAGCTTTACGGGCGAGAAAACGCGAGGAAAGAATCTGAGATTTCACAAGACTGAACGAACGTCCTCCTTGTCTTCAAGCGCAAGAGATGGATCGGCGATCGTGCTGGCTTCGAGTTATCATGGATCCAATCACTCACCAGATATATATATATATCGTGTGTGTGTGGGAAAATCACTACAATGACCCAACACTTTGGCTCGCATCTATTTCACACCACCAAAAACACAACACATTTTTTTTCTTTGAAAAGACGAAATTACCCTTAATGAATATACGATATTTATCCGTTCGAAAACAATTTCGTTATTACGACTTCGTAATTAATTCTAAATATAGTTACAATTGATTCTAAAAAAGGTGGTAAAAAAATCATCTGTTTTATTTTAGTTGTATATCAGTTATATGTTAGTCGTAATAAGGTCATAAAAAATAAAACGAAAAGGGTATTTCGAACTTTTTCAACCGAAAAGTGGGTTAAAATTTTTTCGGTGGTGTACGGTTAATCTACGACCCAAGTGGGTTATTTGGGTAAAAACACCTGTGTTTCACAGTAAAAATGCAATTTTTACACCAAGGTAATGTTAATAATTGTTTTTTACCAGAGGGTAAATGTAATGGTCTTTTTTCTGTAACTAAATAATAATACGCAGGTGCATCAAACTGAGATAACGTTGAATTTCGACAACTCTCCAAAGGGATGGGAGACTGAATAAAACGATCGTCTTTATTATGGCATTAGTCCAATTGGTTCCAAATTGTAACTTTTGGTAATAACTAAAATCCTCTCTCTATAAAACATCCGAGAGATCAGTCTTCGGTTCCTATAACCAGAGAGAGAACAGAATACTTTTGTTTCTTCTCTCTGTCCTGTCCTGTTCTACTCTCTCTCTCCTCTCTCTCTCTCTCTCTCTCTCTCTCTCTCTTATCCGTTCGAAAACAATTTCGTTATTACGACTTCGTAATTAATTCTAAATATAGTTACACTTGATTCTAAAAAAGGTGGTAAAAAAATCATCTGTTTTATTTTAGTTGTATATCAGTTATATGTTAGTCGTAATAAGGTCATAAAAAATAAAACGAAAAGGGTATTTCGAACTTTTTCAACCGAAAAGTGGGTTAAAATTTTTTCGGTGGTGTACGGTTAATCTACGACCCAAGTGGGTTATTTGGGTAAAAACACCTGTGTTTCACAGTAAAAATGCAATTTTTACACCAAGGTAATGTTAATAATTGTTTTTTACCAGAGGGTAAATGTAATGGTCTTTTTTCTGTAACTAAATAATAATACGCAGGTGCATCAAACTGAGATAACGTTGAATTTCGACAACTCTCCAAAGGGATGGGAGACTGAATAAAACGATCGTCTTTATTATGGCATTAGTCCAATTGGTTCCAAATTGTAACTTTTGGTAATAACTAAAATCCTCTCTCTATAAAACATCCGAGAGATCAGTCTTCGGTTCCTATAACCAGAGAGAGAACAGAATACTTTTGTTTCTTCTCTCTGTCCTGTCCTGTTCTACTCTCTCTCTCCTCTCTCTCTCTCTCTCTCTCTCTCTCTCTCTGTATTGTGAAGGGGTTAGGGGGAAGTGGCCGCAATGAAATGGGGTTTCTTCTCGGCTGCTGACGAGTATCAGAATCTGAATTCAGGATCAACGTCCATTGCCCATGCAAACTTGGCGAGAAGAGACTTGTTAAATATCTGCAAAAAAAAAAACACAGAGATAAGTGTTTTTTTTAGTTCCTGTATGAAACGTTAGACCCTCTTAGTTGTCCGATTAAGAGTGCATTACCTTTTCGATGGGCACATCATGTCGTTTGCACCATGCAACACTGATCCTAGGGTCCAAGTAATTGATCTTAGACGTGCCCAGAGCAACTGTTTTCATATCTTCCTTCGTTTGCATGTCCCTTTCCATCTTCTCGATCTTGGCGTTTGTCTGAGCTATCTTCTTCTCTAAGCTGTATTGCATGTTTTCAACATCAGATAGTTGTTTTCAGAGAGAGCGAGAGATATTAAGCAACATGCTGGTATGAAAGAAAGAGAGAGAGGGTATATTACGCTTCTGGGGTTAAGTTCCTTCTCCTCTTTCCATCAGAGCCCATCAATGGCGGTTTTCCTTTCCTTGCCCTGTCAAGATCGGAGTTAAGCTCTTCCAGAAGCTCCTGCTTACAATGCATGACAACAGAAATCGATGGTCTCGTGAGATTTAGCTCCATAACTTGAGAGATTAAAGCTACCGGAGACGTAAATATTACCCTCAATTCTTCTATTTTCCCAGCCAACCTCTCGATTTGTGCCCCGTGAGATTTCGAAACACTACGTTGATGATTACAAATGATTGCGACCTGTAGCCAAAAGGATCAATTATGTTTTCCAATTGTCAATTACTTAGGTGCAAGAACTAGTGAAGCAGAGCCAGTAAATTCCATTACCTGCTTGTTTGCTTGCTGATAAACCACCACTTTTTCACCCACTTCCCCGTCTCTGGTTTCTTTACTCAACTGTCATTACACCCCACACCAAAGTAACACAATCACAAATCGAGAAACCGGAAAAAATAAAAGATTAGAGAACAAGAAATAAACACAAACATCAAATATGTTCGGTAACAAACGCATTGTTAGACCATAAGTTTTGAAGATGCCATCAACAGATTCATGTCATTCCCATGAATCGTTGAGATTCCCATCGAAACGAAAAAGAAAGGCTTCATCTATAGCCTACACAAAGAGGGCACAGAGCAACATACCATCACATCCAATGTGATGGATGCATTATATGTACGAAACACTTTGGCTGTGAGTCCAGGCATAAGTTCCTTGAGATGAGCATTGAGTTTTGAGGTATCTAGCTCATCAAAGAGATCATCTGTTTTGGATTTTCCTGTATGAAAGCCAAAGCTATGGTTATCTATCCAATCACCAATATCCACCAGCATGAGATTAGAGAAAAACTCATCAACCCACCAGCTTGGAACTGTCCAATTGCCTTGTAAACAGGAGGCTCAACCTCAACTGTGTTTACATATTGGATTGAATCTTTACCAAGGAAGTCAAACTGAACATGCCAGTGAGGATAATACAAATTAGAATAACATATAACCAGAAAGCCTACTTGAATGAAAAATGAACCAAAAAAAATCTGGGCATTTTAGAGCTTTCCACAGATACACTCTGCATTCAAGAAGTTTACTTCATTAGGGTTTGAGGTCAAGAAGATACCTTTAACTTATTTGGAGGAATACACTCCACGTTTCCTACTTTCAGTGTACAGCAACCGACAGTGTCTGCCTCGTCATCATCCTACATGAAACAAAAGAAGACAAAGAGCGAAAAATGTGATTGTTAGGAAAGATAAACATTGCTTACAATACACAAAGAAGCTCCAAATGGAAGAGAATTAAAACAGAGAACATAGTTACCCTTCAAAACCAGAAACTTAGGATACCTTAAGCCATTACATTAGCATTTCTTATGAGAAAGATACCCTTACTCAATTACCTTCTCATTTCCAGCCCTAAGGGCTAGCTTATCGATGAGATAGGTAGCAACAGCTATTTGCCGCTTTGTTACATCCTTACTCATAAAATTCTTAGTGTATGCTGCTCTGATACTCCCTATATGGTCCTGCAATCAAATCATAGGCTGCTGTTAAAAAAAATGAAAGAATGACCATTTATGCAAAAGCTTCAGCCAATCCAAGACTAACTACCTTTAGCTTCCTTGCTTTCTCATACTTCTCCTTGTCACTTTGACCCTTTAGAGAACTGCTAGCGGCCAAGAACACATACTTGAATTCTTTTGGATTGATAGGATCATTCCAGAAAGCAAGCCATGTGACAGTGTTGTCATGCTTAACTTCTTTCCAGCTGAAAAGCCACGTCTCTCAAAAGTCAGTTTAAGAAGATAAACATTGTTGCCCCATTGTTTTTCAAGAGAAAACACATCAAAGAAAAGACCTTTCACCAGGGATGGGGCACTCTGGAACAGGGGCTTCTTTCCCAATGTTGATAGTAATGTCACAAGGATGAATCCGGTTCTTCAATTTCCCCATCTGACAAGCGACAATATGCAATGAAGAAAATTATAAGACTATTGAAGTACGGATAATAAAACAAACAAAATGCTTAGTGTAAAGTCGGTAAAAGCAACATCGTAAAAAATATAGTTCAACAGAAATGTGTACAGATAAATGTTGCAAGAACCTTAGGATGTTCTCCCCGGCCTCTGAACAACCCAGGGGGCTCAACTCTGAAATTCCCAACCTGAAATAGAACAAAATATGGTGAGGAATCATGTATGGAGCAATTGGATGCAGATTTGCATCAAAATGAAGAAACTTACCTTTTCCTTGACACCATCAACAATAGCCCACATATACTTCTCCTCCTGCTTTAATTTCTCCTCTTTCAAGGCCTTCTTCTCCTGGATATCATCACCATTACAACATTATCCAGTAGATTGTTCAGGATAAAAGACTAAAGGAAATACGACTTAAGAAAGTATGTATTTATTTACTTCTGCACTCATTTGTTTTTTCTTCTCTTTCTCCCGCATATGCCATTCATATATGGGAGTGAAGTCACAATCATCTAATTTTTGAATCACATGATTCTTGCCAAGTATTTTCTGCCAATCATTCCAGAAATTCTCTCTGAATGTTGGTTTATTATAATAATCTGTATCTCTCATCACTGCAATCATGGTAGCAACCTGCAGATAAGAATAAAGACATCATTGGCTTATCATTCCTGAACTGCAAGGGACTCTGGAGGATGGCATCAGAAACTCCCTAGGAACATTCAGACAGTGAGAAAATGCAGACAGTATGCAAGAAAATTATGATGGCAAAGATACTACATACACAAAGATAAAGAGAAAAAGGGGGACCTCTTCTTGTTCAGGAGTTAAGTCAACTGGCTTCCCCTGGTACAACATCTTAACTCCATGAGGCTTATATGGAGGTGGAAAAATGACACCATTGTGCTCTAGTGTTGTCCACTTCTTTTGCCCATCTCCAGATGGTAACGATTTTGAAGATTTTGAATATTTCGAATCTTTCGCTGGGCTGTTGGGCTTCCTTGTTATCATTTTGGATGAAGTCAACTGTTTTTTCACATTTGGCTTTACAGCAGATGATTTATTAGTTGAGGAATCTGGCTTCATCCTCTTGGCAATAGGAACATGATCATCATCATCTGAGTTGTCTTCCTTAACAGACACTTGGTCAGCTTTAGCCGATTTAGATACATTCAGAATCTTTCTCTTGTCATCTGACACATCTGCTTTAACTGGACCTTGCTTAGTCTTCACTGATGTAGATGAATCTAATAGCTTGGGCTTCTTAACAAAAGATTGATCCGAGGAACTCCCCTTCTCAAGTGGTCTCTTAGCAGGAGCCTCGGAATTGCGCCCCTCGCTCTTAGGTGTAAAACCATTCTGATGGATTTTGTTAGCCATAGATTTCTTGTCTTGAATTTGAATAGGTTTTTTACTCAATGCCCCCACACTGGTCTTTATCTGAACCTTCGAGGATATGGGAGCTTCATCATCCAACTCTTCATTCTTTATGTTTCTACTCAACTTGACTAAAGGAGGCCTCCCACTACTTTTTTCTACTAGTAGCTGTGAGTTACCACGTGCAGAAGAACTTGGGCCTTTACTAAGCTGGTTAGAATCACCTTTGACTCTGGCACTCAAGGGTTTATCATCATCAGAATCCTCCTCCTCGCATTTAAACTCAGATGGATCTTTCAACAGACGGTTCCCCTCCTTACCAACAAGGACTCTGTCATTCCGTATTGGCGACTTCACTGTTGAAGCTTGAGTATATGAAGATGATAGCTTAGTAGATGAAGATGCCGATACTGGTGCCTTGGCTGATGAAGATGCAGACACTGGTGGCTTGGCTGACGAAGAAGCAGACACTGGTAGCTTGGCTGATGAAGATGCAGAGACTGGTGGCTTGGCAGATGAAGCTGACGGCACAGATGGTTTCATCACGGGCGTTCTGGCAGACGAAGTTGACGGCATTGATGGTTTTGGCACAGAAGTTCTGGCGGACGAAGATGAAGTAGATCTGTTTGGGCTTGTTAAAGGAGATCTCATTGGTGAGGCCTTGGAGGAAGGAAACCCCGTGCTCTTCCGGGCATCGGCTTTTGAATGATTTGAATTAGACGCCACATTACTGCTCCTCTTAAAAACCAAAGGCATTTCATCATCATCGTCGTCGTCATACCCATCATGACCATTTGGCACCACCGCTTTCACAAAAGCCTCAGTGGCCATGAAAAAGAGCGAACAATGTTGGCAGATCTCTACAATCAACTTCTGGGTAAGAATGAAAAAAAAATGGAAAGAAAACAGACTATACATTAAAATTTCCAAAACTGCATAAGCAATAAACACCAATAAAAACAAAAAAGAGCTCTTTGTACGGCCAAGACATGGTACCAAGCAGCAAATGAGATTCACATTGAACTGAAACCTCTAAAGGAACATACTTTAACACATTCCTAAGCTCCGATCAAACAAGACCCAAACTTGAACATCTCAATTCAAGTCCAGACCTTGGCAGAGACAAACCGGATCAATGATCAAAACCACCAATCAGATAATCCCAACGAATTCGATTTGAACCATCATTTAAAGAATCGAAGACCATGATACAATAGGAAAGGCAAATCCCTAAATTGGGACGCGAAACCCTAACTTTGAAATCAAAAGGGACTTCGTGAAATTGAGCTCAAATTCGATCGAAATCTGAGCGAAAATACGGGATTGAAGCAGTTACCTTCAGCCGCGACGAAATCGGTGAGGAACCCAATCCCAAATCTCGCTCAGTTCCTCGCGGGTTTGTCGTTTCTAAGCGTAAGCTGTGGAGACTAAGTTATGGTAATACTCCGTCTGCCCCAGCGACTCTTGACCTCTTTTGTTGGCTTCGCTTCATTCTGCGACGTCATAATGTTATCTGCATTAGTTACGGCCCATACTAAGATCTTGGCCCAATGGGCTTTACCATATATGCCATATATCTACGACGTCGTATGAATGTTATACTAAGATCTTGGCCCAATGGGCGTTACCGTGCCCTGTCCCATGCTGTGCATTATTTACGGCCCAATAGGCTTTAACACTGATGTATTATATGCATTATTCATGGCCCATATTAGAATCTTGGCCCAATGGACTTTACCTAGACTGCCATCTGTACGGCCCATTACGAGATCTTGGCCCATTGGGCTTTACTATAGGTCATATTGATGCTAAATGCGTTATTGTCGGCTCATTATGAGATCTTGATCCAATGGACCGTGTTGGTAAATTCCATGATGCACAAATTTAAGATATCCAGATTTGTAGATCCGCTCATTAATTCTTATTCAATTTTTGTAACAATTATTTCTCAACCTTTTTTTTTAACTTCTTATAATGATAATAATAATAATAAGTGATTTTACTCACTAAATAAATAAAAGCTTTCGTGTGACGAAATCAATACACAATAAGGCTTCACTGGTGAATCTTTCGAGCACGTGGCTCCTCACAAGCTGAGGGAAGAACAACCAGCCACCGGTCACAACGGTAAACCCCATCGCAAGCAACCACGAAATCTCTTTGTGAACCCTCCACGTGGCTCTTCTCTTGACCGCCATCTCCGCTGCAGTGCAAACCCCATGCAAAACAAAGAACCACGTCACCTCCCATGTAGGTAACGTGCGAGTCAAGTAATAGAATATCAGCTCGTGCATGAGACCAGAGACGAGGAACGAGGCGACAATCCCCAGAAACGGACCCCGGTCGTGACCCACGAGGCGCGCGGTGGCTCTGTTAACGGGTCCGTGGACTGTGGTCCGGAGAGTGGCCGGGACCATGAGATTCCACCGGCGGCTCCAGAAGTCTTGGAGAGACGTGGCTAAGTACGGCTCGTTGAAGAGCGGCTCGATTTCACAACCGAGAAGGGTCGATACAACCGAACCGACGAAGAGCAGACCGAGTTCGAGGTCGAGGTAAATAAGCATGGCGTGAAGGCCCGAGACAAGAATCCAAGGCAAGCGGTTTTTATGTTCGTATACGTTTAACAAAACGGAAAAGGTGACGAATTTTATAGCCAAAACTATTGATCTTCTTAAGAAAAGAACCTCAACTCCAGAATTTTCTCTGTATTTCTCACTACTCAAATCGGATGTACATTGGGGTTTTATATATACAACAAAGAATAAAGAAGAGTACTATAAAGTAAACCTATGAAATAAAGACTACGCTACCAGCTACAAAACTCTCCATGTAACTACTCTCCATGTAACTACTTTAATTATGTACTAGAAATATCATCAGAACCTAAGTTATTGTCTGCTATAAACAAACCAAAAAGCAACAGGAAATAACGTGGCTTAATACTCCCCCTCAAGATGAGAGATACAAATTTTGTATCCCCATCTTGGAGAGGAGATAACCAAACTAATCAGATGCGAGAGGTTTTGTTAGCAAGTCAGCCACTTGCTCCTTCGATGAAACATGCAGAATTTTCAGCAAACCAGATTTGATGTGGTCTCGGATGAAGTGACAGTCGAGCTCCACATGCTTTGTGCGCTCATGATGAACGGGGTTGCTGGCGAGAAGAATGGCAGATTGACTATCGCTGAATATATTGATCGGCTTCGGACAGGAAACATGGAGTTCACGAAGCAAACTGTCAAGCCATAAAATCTCACAGGAAGTATTTGCAAGTGCTCGATACTCGGACTCGGCGCTGCTGCGTGAAACAATTGCTTGTTTCTTTGCCTTCCAAGAGATCATTGAGGTGCCAAGATAAATACAATACCTTGTAACAGATCGACGGGAATCGGGACAAGATGCCCAATCTGCGTCGGAATAAGCACTAAGCATTAAGGGTGAAGATGCAGAATAAAACAGACCTTGAGAAGGAGCTGTTTTCAGATATTTGAGAACGCGATAGGCAGCTTGAAGATGGCAGGAACGTGGATCTGAAACATATTGACTCAATTTCTGAACGGCAAAGCAGATATCAGGACGTGTCACTGATAAATAAATCAATTTCCCAACTAACTGCCTGTAGAATGACACATCCGAGAGTGGTTCACCAGATTCTGAACTCAGTTTCTGCCTTGTTTCCATTGGCGTTAGCATTGGTTTTGATCCAAGCAAACCATATTCTTCTAACAACTCCAAAGCATATTTTCTTTGACATAAGTGAATTCCAGCAGCAGATCTTGCAATTTCAATGCCCAAGAAGTATCTCAATGCGCCAAGATCTTTGACTTGGAAGTGTTGTTTGAGAATGCTCTTGGTGTCATTAAGCAGACTCACATCATTCCCTGTCAATATCAAATCATCCACATAAACAAGCACAATTGTAATAGTGGATCCAAGAGCTTTGATGAACACAGAGTTGTCTGCAGAGCATTGGCGAAAACCAGCAGATAATAAGACACTAGACAACTTGATGTTCCATTGTCTAGAAGCTTGTTTCAAGCCATAGATTGATTTATTGAGCTTGCAAACTGAGTTTTCTGGAAGTTTCTCCCCCTTAAGAGCTGAGTATCCCGGTGGCATTGTCATGTAGATTTCTTCACTCAAGTCACCATTCAAAAATGCATTGGAAATGTCCATTTGAGAGAGCATCCAATTCTGAGCAGAAGCCAAAGCAAGAACAACTCTAACAGTGGTCATTTTGGCCACAGGACTAAATGTATCAAAGAATCTAAACCTTCAATTTGTGTATAACCTTTGGCAACCAATCTAGCTTTGTGGCGTTCAATGCTCCCATCGGCATTATATTTGGTTTTGAAAACCCACTTACATCCAACCGGGTGTTTGCCATTGGGTAAAGAACAGATATCCCAAGTATTTGCCTTAGTTAGAGCCTCTAACTCAAGTCTCATGGCAGCAATCCATTTATCAGATTTGGCAGCCTGGGTATATGTCTTTGGTTCTAGTTCAGTGAGAAGAGAAAGGGCAAATGTTTTATAGGTAGGATGAAGTTTAGAGTAAGAAACGAAAGAAGACAGATGGTATGGGCTAGTGGTAGTGTGTGGTGGTGGACTATCATGTTGCAGAAAATAACAATGATAATCAGCTAGGTAAGCAGGAGTTTTCGTAGTCCGCTGTGATTTGCGAAGTGTTTCATGACGTTCAACGACTGGAGAAGGAAGAAAATCTGAGCAAGATGATGAAGATTGAGGTAAAGAGACAGAACATGGAATGGATGAGTCTGCAGATACAGGAGATGGAGAAGTAAAGTCTGATGGATTAGTTTGTGGCGGAATGGAGACAGAGAGATCATCATATAGATGAAAAGGCAGAAGATTTGGTGGAAAGAAATCCAGAGAAGAAGATGGTAATGGGTTGGTTTTGAAAGGAAAAACAGATTCATCAAATATTACATTACGAGATATGATGATTGCATTGGTCTCAAGATTCAAAGTCTTGTAGCCTTTGATGCCATTTGGGTAACCAAGAAAGACTGATGCAGAAGCCCTTGGAGAGAATTTATGACGGTCTTTTGTGTTGGTGGACACATAACATAGACAACCAAAGGAACGAAGATGAGAATATGATGGTTTGGTGTTTGTGAGTTTTTCAAAGGGGGATTTATGGTCAAGTAAGGGACTCGGAACACGATTGATAAGATACACAGCCGTCTTAACACAGTCACCCCAAAACAAAAGAGGAACATTAGATTGAAAAAGAAGGGCACGAGCGACATTCAATATATGTTGATGTTTTCTTTCGACTATGGAGTTTTGTTCCGGCGTGTATGGGCAAGAATAATGGTGTTGAATGCCCTTTTTGGAGAGAAGATCAGAAAAAGAAAGTTCTTTGGCATTATCAGATCTGATGATCTTTACAGTGGTTTGGAAATGATTCTCAACATAAGAAAGAAAGTCTGAAAATTTAGACAGCACATCGTGTTTGGATTTCAACATGTATAACCATGTGGTTCGAGTGCAATCATCCACAATAGTTAGAAAATATCTATAACCTTCGATAGTGGAGAGATGGAAAGGTCCCCAAATATCAAGATGGATTAAATCAAAAGGGTTAGAAGCTATGTGACCACCAACAGGAAAAGACAATCGTTTTTGCTTAGCCAAGGAGCAAATATAACAGTCTGAACTATGAGTTTTAGAAGGAACAAAATGCAGCTGAGAAGACCCATGAAAAGAGCGGATCTTGTAGCTTGAAGGGTGGCCTAATCGTTGGTGCCAAAGAGCAGATTTAGTGTCTGAAAAAGTAGAGCAGATAGATGTAGAAGCTGGTGATGCAGTGGAAGAAAACAACTGCATCTGCAAGGTGTAGAGGTTGTGTGTTTGGTCACCCTTCCCAATCATCAAATCCCGCGTAGGGTCCTGAATGAGGTAAGTATCATGAGAAAAAGTTATGGTGAAAGAAGTGTCTCGTGTAAAGGCACTGATACTTAAGAGATTTAATCGAAAAACTGGTATGTAAAGGACTGATTTTAGGCATATGAAAGAATTAATAGAAACTGTGCCAGCTTTGGTCACAGTGAGTGTTTTTCCTGTGGGAAGGGTTACAGAGACAGGGGAAATAGTGTGAACATCAGAAAAAAGCCGCAAATCACAGCAGACATGACTACTCGCTCCTGTGTCTAGGATCCAAGTGCTAGGTGGTAAAGTAAGGATTGGTTCCATTGCTGATAAAAGAGGGGTCGTAAAAGAGATACCTGGATTTGGGTTGGGTAGGATAGATGCTGCCAAGCCTGTGTTGGTGGAAGTGCTGCCAAGAGACTCAAGTTGTGACTGAAACTGGGCAAATAAGGCTTGAGCCTGTTCTAAGGTACTCTTAGTAGAGTCACCAGTAGACTGATTCTTTCCTGAAATCTCTGTTTTAGTCTGCACCACATTCACAGAAGGTGAAAATTTCGAGTCAGAAGAGAACCTTGGTTTTGGCAGCAAAGGAGGCCTGATGTTGGAGCCTGCACCCCTGGAGTTTGGAGGATAGCCATGGATCTTGTAGCACCTATGAATGGTATGCCCAGTCAGACCACAATGCGCACAGACAGGACGAGGCTTCTGTGGAGTGGAAGTCTGGAATGATGTCCTGTTCCGAGGAGAGGATGATGTTGTTGTCTGAAAGACCACAGAATCCGAAGGACCAGAACAGACTTGACGTTGGTGTTCTTCCTGAGAAATCAGGTTGTAAACCTTTGACAGGCTTGGTAGCGGATCCAACATCAGTATTTGACGGCGAGCCGGGTGGTAGGCTTCATTCAACTTCATGAGGAACTTTACCACGTTTCGCCGTTCAATGAGCGCCATGAACTTGTCAATCGCTTTGCAGGTGCAGCCTCCGCACGAACAGGTTGGGTAGGGCTCGAAATTCTTCAACTCCTCCCATAAGGCGTTGAGTTTCGTGAAAAAAGTGTTGAGATCCATGGAGCCTTGCTGCAAAGTTTCAATCTTCTGTTCAACGCTAAACACTTTCGAGACGTTCTTCTGTTTGTATCTGGCTTCTAGAGTCGACCAGATAACATCGGCTTCATCCAGATACAGAACAAGACTCTTGATCTCAGGAGAGACCGAGTTCGTTAACCAAGTGCATACCAGAGCGTTGCATCTGGACCAGGATCCGAAATCAGGATGAGTCGAAGGAGGTTTAGGAATGGTGCCAAGGATGAACCCTAGTTTGTTCTTGGTAGTTAAGGCTTGTTGAAAGGATCTGGACCAGAGATTATAGTTGGACTCATCAAGCAATTTCTCAGAGACGAGAACGATACTGGAAGAGTCCGCTGGGTGGAGAAATAAGGGATTCGAATAGGGATCTGGGTTGGTAATGTTTGGTTCTGGCTGGGTTAAAGGTGTGTCAGAAGTAGACGAAATATGGGAAGGGCTTTGATCGTCCATGAGTTTTGATTTAGAAATCTGGGGATGGGATTGAAGAAATAGGGTTTAAGAAATGAAGAGGAAAGAGTACCAAACGAAACACGGTATGAGAGAGAAGAGGGGAAATTATAAAAAAAAAGGAGGTATCGGAAGAAAAGAAGTAGATGAAAAGAAATAGGGCAATGAAGAAAAAGGTGAAGAACAGAAGAACAGGAAATCAAATCAGAACCAAAAAACAATATGTCTCTGATACCATATAGATCTTCTTAAGAAAAGAACCTCAACTCCAGAATTTTCTCTGTATTTCTCACTACTCAAATCGGATGTACATTGGGGTTTTATATATACAACAAAGAATAAAGAAGAGTACTATAAAGTAAACCTATGAAATAAAGACTACGCTACCAGCTACAAAACTCTCCATGTAACTACTCTCCATGTAACTACTTTAATTATGTACTAGAAATATCATCAGAACCTAAGTTATTGTCTGCTATAAACAAACCAAAAAGCAACAGGAAATAACGTGGCTTAATAAAAACCCAATTGGGAAAGCGATTTGACGACCCATCTGGAGATGGGTGTTGTCTGGGTTTGATGGGGAGACAACATAAACAGAAGAAAGACAAGAGGTTTTGGGGAAGTGGGTGCAATGGTCCTTGATCAAATGCGAAGAGGATGAGCTTTGAATTCGCGAGCCAAGAGAGAGAGAACGTTGTGAAGACGCAGAGGTGAACGGAGGAGAAGGAGAGAGGAAGAACAAGGAACAGAGAGCAGACGGGAAGAAGAGAGACAAGTCGAAGAACACGACGACTTTGGATCTTCGATGATATGTAATAACAATAGCTTGCGGAGATTACTGCAGAAATCAAGAGCTCTTGAGTTCTTCATTTACATCCATCTCCTTGATCTTATCTTCTTTGTACACATCTTCTTGCATTTATAAAGACAGATTAACATATTAAGAATGAATAATTATGCCTTGTGATTTACGATTCTTTCGGTATTATTCCTTTAATTTCATTAATTTACCATTGTGTACATTGTGTTAGATTTATTAGAAACATTTTTTTTATATCACCGTTTGACTAACTACATCTCCCATAGATCGGTGAAGTTCCGACAAATGTTCCTCCTCAAATAGAGACTAGAACATGGATTAAGACAGAGTTTTACTCTTTTGCATCCAATTTTAGGTTATTAAAAAATATTTGATTCGTAAATAAAAAAAATTTCACATTTCTTTATTCGTTCATCCCTCACTACGCTCTCGAAGGATTAGATTAGAATACATAACAATTAATTTTATCTAATTGTGCACATTAAGCTGTGAATATTAATAAGCTTAAATTCGAAGGATTAGATTAGATAATTGAATTGTGGCTTCCAAAATGGATGCCATTAAATAATTTTGGTCAAAGGGTACAGCTAAAGCCAACAAGATAATATGTTTGCTTGGACCAACGCTTGGATTATAATTTTACGCAACTAAAGTAATATATATATATATATATATATAACGCAGCATCCGAATTCACAAATTGGTCGATGATGTAGAATCCTTGATCCATTGCGTTTTTTACAATTTTGAAAAAAATAAATAATAACCCTTCACTTAATTAATAATCACGAAGATAGAAAGAAACTCTGTTAAGAGAGAGCTTTGTTCGTCATCGTTCTTCCAAGTTGGGACAGACAAAACGCTTTCAAGTTCTCCGATGGGACACGACTGAAACTGTACAGTTATAACGTACGACACAAGTAAAGAGACAAAAGAAGAAAGAACCCATAGCTTGTCTCCCAAGAAATAGGGAAAAGCTTTCGAGAATCTACACGCCCATGTATAAGAACCTGAAATTCCTCGTTTCGATTCAAACCGATTCCTCTGTTATTCCCCATCATCTATTATGGCTATTCGAGGGCTGCCTCCTCGGTCTCATGCTGTGAGGACACAGATGTAATATCAGAGGCCGAGTCGCCATTGTTGTCGGCATCGATGGCCAAGCTCGAGACTTCGCCGGAAAAGGAGGAGACTTCGTCGTCTCCGGTGACAGACGGGGCCGGAGAAGATGCCGTACTGTTGCAGGTCGTGGTGGTGCTGTGAGTGGATGAGGAATCGGAGCTATCTGATGATTGTTGCTGAAGGCTCCAGTACATTATACTCGCAGTCAAGATTAAGATCATCTTCTGGTTCACCTGCAAAGATATAATCATCATCTCCTAGCCCATTGAACGATTCAACCTCGAGTTTCTTCTGGGTTTTGGACAAAACACTTGAGCAAGATCCCCAGGTTTCAGAAGAACAAGTCAAAATCTAAACTTTGCTGAGAGTTAATGTGCGTGATTGTGTCTGAATGCACAGTGTGTCGATTAGTTACTTGTTATTGAAGCTTAAGACATAGGTTATGGATACAGTTGGGGACATGGGAGAAATGGGATTTTGTATTTACCTCTATAATGTCCTCAGGCAACAAGAAAATCGAACAACCAAGCTTCCTTGCTACACTGATTATGTATGTAGCGTTCAACCTCTTCTCATCATCTGTATTTTTTCCATGGCGTCAAGAACAAAACAGCAAATTTGGGCTTTGCGTTTCTACCAGAAACCAAAACAGAAAAGGTTTATAACAGAGTAAAGTACCTGTTTCACCGTTAGTGACAAGATTCCAATTGACAACTCTGGGTTCCACTGCCCATAGAAGCTCGAGGAAGAACAACCCCTTGGAAAGACTCTTGTCCTGAAGGAAATTTCAGGAAAATTTTGTTCGAAACTAAAATTCTGACGGGCTTTTGCTAAGAAAAAAGAAGAGTGAGTTGTCGAAGTTTTGAAGACAGAACCTTGAAGCTTTCGATGTGTGATTTCCTGCCCATGATCCTCACTTTCCTGTTAGCCCAGCTGAGGATATCGGCATCCGTCATCTCTTTCCGTCGACAGTT